AAATCGCCAACTCTTTTATTACAGAACACGAACTTAAATTTATTATGTATTAAAAAAATTTTTCACATTATAGATATTCATATTAATGTTTCCCCAATCTTTTTCGGAACTAATGTTTTCTTTATTGTACATAGTTTCTATACAAAGTATTTGTAATTGACCTAAAGACATACATCGGTTGCTGTTGTAGTTTATTTACGTCGCACTAGAGCTTCACGATGAGCTATTGGCGACGGTCTGGGAAACATCCCTGAGGATGATTCTTAGACATACCATCACAATTTTGATCCTCTGCAGAGGGAATGGCACCCCCACTTTTGTAGCCCGACGACCTACGAGTGAAGTCGAGCACTAAGACATATATCGGAAAGAAATGTATGTAACAAAAGCATATCTATTATTATATATAGCGCTATCTTACTGTCAAAAGAGACTCCAATAAAGGAAAGTTTCTGAAAAGAAAAAAAAAACACTCGCCAATTGGCAGAAGTGTAACGCTGGTGGCCGAAAACAAATATATAAATAAAATTCAAATGAAAGTTTTAATAAAAATTTTCATTAATAAAAGAAAATTGTAAATAACAAGAATTTAAATAGACGAGCCAAGTCGTAAGGTCCGTATACTCTATATCAAAGTCTCATTGTCACGATACCAACCAACGCTACAGCAATATATGACCATGCAATTGTGGACTGATCAGTCAAGAGCAGGTGCCGCACCCAGCAAAGCCGGTTGACACACTTCGATCCATTGGACCAACTTCAGACTGGAATTCAACCGAATTGTCTTTATTTACATATTTACTCTCAAAAAATTTGTATTACAAAAGTAATATCAAAATTTTTGAAATTTTGGCATGAAAATGTGTTAATTTGTTTTAAATTACATCGAAATCGAAATTCAAAGTTTATACTGCTTATGGTATGTTAAGAAGTTTATTGACCAATAATCATACAGCTTATATACATATGAATTATTCAGCCAGGACTACAAACTCTATTATTGACAATTGCTCTTACTTTTAAGTCGTATTATAAATCATCTTTTCTATGTCCGACCCAAAAATAAGGTCAATATTTTATTTACAGCATTTAAATTTTTTTGTATTCTATATGCGCATAACAATAATTATGCTCATTATGAATCGTTACTACACACACATTAATTCGCTTTTGTTGAAAATACATAAAGAATGTTGTTAGAATTTTATAACAATGACCTTTGTATACGTAAAAACTGACAAGTCTAACGAAGAAAAAAAACGGAAGCCTAACCTATATTATATAACAATATCATAAAAATGTTCTCGAATTTTTTTTACTACCTTCTTTTTTCTTTAATTCCATATCCGAGTCAATTATGTTTTGATGGAAAGGGTCATCGGTGCTTGACTAATCCTTGATATTATATTTCTTGATGATAAACCGGACATTAGCTTTCATAAAATTCAACAAATATTTTTATGGGAAAGGTTGAAGAGTTTTTTTTTCTGCGTTCATTATTATAGTTTTGATGCGTCGTTTGTTCAGGAACAAAAATCATAAATAAAATTTCGTTAAGATTAAATGAAGTGGCCGTTCGAATTGAGACTAATCAATGCAATTTCTAAATGTTATTTATGAAATCCATTTAAGCTAATAAAAAGAAATACATATTATTTTATTTATTAGCAGACTTCAACATTTTTGGGTTTCCGATCTGTTTGGTTGGTTGGTTCTAATGCCACTTGCCACACGGGCAAGCCTGCTTGGTGAAACCGAGCAAATTTAAGGCAGAGTATGCGATTCTTGTTTTTCAGTGGCGCCATCTATGGCCAAGAATTCGACTTCGCCACATCATGCGTCACAACTGTTTTTATAAGGCGGACCTATTCATTCATCCATTCATTCATCCACAGATCGTAATTTTGACCTGAATCAGAGAACGATCGATCTCCAATCCAGTACCCCCAGAGGTATTGATTTGTTATGGGAACATGGAGGACTTTTGTGACTCGACAGATTTAACGAGCATCAGTCACTTTACTACACGGGCAGTCTTCGACCGGCGGGGTTGAACCCACGAACTGTCGGACATGGGCCCAGCGCCCTACCGACCAGGCCATCCCGGCCTTTTCCGATCTGTTCACTTAACCTTATGACGTAGTCGGATCAGGGTCAACTGCACGCAGAAAAGGCAATCTAAGAACTCATTTTTACCTCTCACCAGTTAAAGTGTCTCTTTTCAAGTTACGAGAGAATATGCGAACATGGCGTATGGCCAGACCAGTGGTCGGTAGTATAGCGCCACAAGTAGCGAAACTACTGTAGTCACACCTTTTTCTGTAGCGCAGTGCGCTACTTTTTAAAAGAAGTAGTGTAGTGAGCAATGAGGTACAAAAAAAAACAGTTTGTAGCGATTCCTTACAACTACTTTTAACGTTAGTTGAATAAAGAAACAAAGTTCAAACGAAAGAAAAGCTTCGAATCTGATTAGGGCAAATCCTTCGAGGGGCCATCAATGTATTCAATGAGAATGCTTCTGTGGCCGAGCGTTTATAAGATCTACGTCTGATGCTCGGAAAAATTGGTGCGAAATCGGTAGTGTTATTTCTGAGAAATCGAATTTTAAATTTCTGACTTTTTGAAAATTCGACTTCACATGAACTATAAAGAACGTTTTTGTGCCTGATTTCGCAACTTAAAATATCGTCTACATTAATTAATTAGCATATTTGTGGTTACTTCCTTAAACCATTAAGTCCTAGAACGTGAAGATCCGATCATTAGATCAAGTTATTCAGGATGGTCCGTATTTTGTTTTTCGCACTGTACCTTATTTTTTGAAGGATTTAAATAAGCATTGATCACTTAAATCACAAATATTTGATCATTTCCTAGCATTTCTTAATTCACTGTCGAGAAAAGCATAGAGTTTGAAAGTTCAAAGAACAAATTCGCAAATTGTGCTTTAGAATATAAAAATTATTTCATGTAAAAATGAATTAAAGCATCTAAATATCTCCTCATATTTAACCAAGCCAATTTTTTTTTAAATTCAAAATCATTTTTAATATTGCTGAAAATTAAGTTCTCCAGTTAAGTTTGTGTGTTCTAAAAATATCGAAGTAGTAACTACATTTCGAAAGTTGTTTGTAGTTGCTACATTTAAAAAAAAAAGTTGTATTTGCAGTTAACTGCAATTGCAATAAAGTAGTTGTTGTAGTTAACTACAAAGAAAATGTAGTTTTTCCGACCACTGGTCCAGACCATATTTCCGCTGCTGGAATTGCTGATTTCTAGAACATGTAAGAGCGGTTAGTGATCCCTGCTTCTCTTCACAAGAAACATTTGAACCAAGAGCATGTTACCTCCCCTTTAATATTCGAGAGATGAGGGGGGGGGGTTGTGGGACTTAAAAGGTAATAGTTGCATTGCCGAACACCCCTTCGAGACTCTCTGACAATTGTATGGTATAGGGCTTAAGTTTGGAGCCCTATGTTTTTCTTTTGAGGACTTCAGTTGATCCTGATTTTATTTTAAAGATGACAACAACGACGCATAGACCGTATCGGTGGGAGGGGGACCATTTTATGGAAAGGGATATTCCCCGGATAAATTAGCCAGCCCCGGATAATTGTAGAGTTCCCAGAACTCTACAATATAAGGCATGTCTGCGACACTCTGAATGAAAAATTTATACTCACAGTCCTCATATGACAGTTTTCAAAAGCTTGAAAATTGAGTCACAAAATTATTAGGTCGAATTTCTACAAAAACTTCTAAGCTGCTTTATATCGAGTATAAAATCAGGAATCCTACGTTTATATTTTTACCGTCAATATTTTTTTGTTAGATTTTGTAATTACTGTTTTATATGTTTCGTCCTTGAAGTCTAACACAGGATCATGCATATACATTGCAACGCAACTGTAGAGTGACTATTATTTTTGTGTTATATCAATCAAATCTTGTCGAATTTCATTCAATTCTGTTTAATTGTTTTGGAGATAATCGACCAAATTTGAGCTTTTTTTTAAAATTTTGAACACATGTATGTAGTTAATTTGTAGCTTTAAACTCATCAACCAAAATTGATTACAGTGAACTGAACACAAATTCTATAATATTTTCAAATAGTATGATTGATCAAATAGTATTGTAAACTTGACTCTTAAAAAACGTAAAAAGGAGAAAGGATCACTGGTGTCACAGAATTTTGTTAATACCTGATAAATTGCACATTAAAATTTACACATATATGATTTAATACGTAATTTTTCAGCATTTAATTGATATTTTAATAAGTTGATATGAGTAACTGCTATTTTTATTGTTTACTAAGGTATTGTTTCTGTTATTTGTAGTAAAACCTTACGAAAACGTCCAGTAAAATGACAGTAATAATAAAATAGAAATAATTATAACGAACTTTAAAAGAAATTATCTTCTAAAAACCTTTTTTTATAAATAAGCAAATAAAAAAAAACAAGAGTGTTAAAGGAAGTTACGCGCAAAATATTTTAAATAATAAAAAATGAAACTATATAAATTCAGAAAATGTCATTATTCCAAAGTGAATTATTAAATCAGAAAACACATTTCATTTTTTCAGCTAAAAATTTATAAATTAAAGAAATTTTATTAAATGCCCCTTAATCTCAGTGTATAATTCTGCTTCAATAAGTGTATAATTCGTTTCCTTTGCAAGCCGAAAACGATTAATAAGTAAACTTCGAACACAACATTTCTAATTTATTACTTTCTTTTTGAGCTATAAAATTAATAATTATATGATTACATTTATGTACTACAGAACCTACTTATTTCAAAACAGCTCGAAATAATTTTCCTCTAAGAACCGAAACAGTCGAAAATTAAATTACATTTGAATAGGATCATTAGTGAAGAAAGAAAATCACAAACAGCGGCAAGAAGTTGTTGATTTACATAGACCTTTAACCTATCGGAAGCAACCATTACCGCAGATTGGCCACTAGACAATAAACGGCCGCCCATGTCAAGTTCCCTTTCAAGCCGCAGGGAGCGTTGCAGTCAATTAGTGTACGTTAGGTGAAAGTGGGTTAGTAGGGCCTCACTCTCGGAGAAAGGTTGCACTTTAGAGATGCCACAGTTTGCCGTGGGTCACCAGGCCGAAGAGATAGGCGGCGCATTATCGATAATAGATCTGTGGACATGGATACTATTCAGGTATGTTTTGATCACGTGAAGGTATACTCCCTTGACGAATTGATTAATCGCTTCGATGACTGAAGTCGAATGCCGGCTTCGTTTCTTTTTGTGTATCAAATTGTTCGCGGGAAATTTTAAATTTGGATTTAGCTCGGAATTTTCAAAATCATTTGCAGTTTCAGACATTTTTTATTAATGATCATCGTGAAAGGGAAAATTGCTAACGTTGAATTTTTAATTCTTTCTACTCTACCGAAATTTTTTTTGTTATATGCATCTTTATAAATAACTTATCATAAAAAAATAAAACTAGTCTTATTTAATATTTTTTCATTTATTTATGTGCATAATGTTTAGTAATTTACCAAGCAAAAAAAAAATACAGTTTTATTAGACGTATCATCTAAGAACTAACTATCAAAATGGGTTAGGATAATCAGGATTTATAATTAAATTACTAAATGCTTGCTTGTTTTTTTCTACTGTTCAAATTCTGATGATTCAGCTAGCCGTTTCTATATTGTTTGTGAGAGTTCTTATCGAATTTATCGGGTTTTAAATAGAGATGTTATGTCATCGATTATTTCCAGACAAGTCTACTTTTTCAAGGTTATATATATAAATATACATATATATATTTTCTGGACAGGCAACATTTTAAAATGCGATAAATGCTTTAAGTATTAACTGGATAAATTGATCTAGCCATACACTATTTCTAACTTCGAAACACTTATTTTAATAGTTATATAGGTATACTGAAATGATAACTTCCTGAATTAACTAATCATTACCATTCATGCCATTAACTATGTAACTGAATGACTGCAAAGTTTCAATGATTTTTTTTTATTTGTCATTAAGGTAGTCCTTGAAATCATTTTTACATTGATAGAATGGCTGCTATTACATAAAAAAACAGGATTTTGTTAATATGAAAAAAAGGAAGAAAATAATTTATTAAAACGAAAACTCGCTAATTCTTTAAACAGAAAATAAATTATGCCAAAATTAAAGTACTTGGATTGCTATCTTAAAATAATTTACTGTCTATTAATAGTCTTATTTCAGTTTATTTTGGGAGTTTTTACTTTAAAACATTTTCTTGCCTTTGAAAGTTAGTTTAAATACCAAAAATATTTTTGTTTCACTCTTTGAGAAAAGCTGAATGTAAAGTTTAATGGTAACAGAAGTCGGAATTGGCTATACTGCGTCAAACTAAGCGGCATTATGTTTTCTGAATAAGCTGATCAAACCACTTTGTAAACTAAATGTAGCGCATAAGAAGAAAAAAGACGGGGGAATCACTGAGATATATCTGGGTGATATAGTTTGGATCACTTCGCCCAACAAGTTGCCAACTCATACAGATACCGGCCTGTTTGAATTCGATTGAATGCTACAACCTATCATCTTTGTTTACCAAAGACATCGAAAACCAGACCCTATATTTAGAAGGGCTTTTGCGAAATCCGAGCAAATTTGGGACGGTTGCAACTTTTTTTAAAAATTTTAAATAACTATAATTACTTTTAATTAAATTACAAGCAACTATTAATTGTAAGTATTTTGCTTAAGAAATTCTTTAAAAAAATTACATTTTTCTATTTAAGGAATACAAAATTGAAGGAATTTCGTAATTTTCTCAGTTACGTTAATTACTCAATTTGTTAAAAAAAATTCATTGCATTGTTAACGCGGTTATACTACCATTAATTTCAATGCAACACATACTTTTTCATTTTCTTCAAGAAATTCGCTGACATTTAAATTCGCTATCACAGGAATCTTTCACTTCAGGAAAAAACATATTCCATTATGCAATTTTTCAATTACAACTAAAATTTGTCATTAATCTCTCTTACGCCTCCTGTGACCCAAGTTTTAAATAAAGGCAGAAAATTCGATTTTTGCTTAAAAATATGCAGCTTAAAAGAAAGTAAACTCATTAATGCCATATTTTCTTTTTAAATAAATAAATTTAATAATTTATTTTTAAATTTTTAATTTTATATAAAAATTATAATTTTTTATTTTTAGCTCTTTTTACACATTATGGGATGCTTTTATAGTGTGCTTCACATTTGAGTCATGAAACAAAATCCACAAAACTAAAAAAAAAAGATTTTTATGTACCGTCAAACTCCCTAAAAGGACATTTGAATCCAATTTCTTACTTTTCATATAATTTTTCAGTGTTTTCAAACATTCAGACAAACGAGAGATAAATCAATTTTATTTTTACAAAGTTAATTTCGTTGTGAAGGCCTACAAACAGAAAAACAAATCTTAAAATTATTTCCTGAGTGGCGAAATTATACAAAATGTTGTCCAATATATTGGACGCTGGTTAATCGAACCTTTAGAAGTTGTCTTTACAGCACAAATTTTGGAAAGTGTTATTATTGCTTTAATCAAAATTTCGTATTCTATGTTATTCCAATTGCATTGCATCCTGATGCACTTAGACAAATATCCCTAAGCCTGGCAGAAAAGTAAATCGGCAGCACTTTAATCATAAATCCAAATTTGTCTATTAGAATCATATTTTAGACTTAAAGTGAATTTATTGCATAGTATGATGCATATTTATCATTTACGATGATGCATTATATACAAAATATACTTGTTTTTTGATGTACTTAAAAAATATTTTGATTTTTTTACGACTAAGTTTCAATGCAGAAATAAATGAAAGCAGTTTCACAGACAACAGCCACTTGATTATTTCATTGAAGTATCGTGTTTTGCATGCTTTTGATAGAAAATTGAAAATAAAAGATTTGTATTGAAATGTGTAAGTGATAATGTACTAAATATACTAAAAAAAATACATAGGTTTTACTGAATTTAAAACTTTCTTTTTAAGACAAACTGTGGATACTTAGTTTTGAAGTGATATAAATGTTATTGTTCCCATGTATAATGTTATAGTAACTATAACATTATGCATATTAACATAGCATCCACCTACCATATAATATTATGAATCTTCAAAACAAAATTCCCTAATTATCCATGCTTCAATCTTTTCTTTGATTTAGTCTCGTTTTGCATCTTCTAATACAGAAACTCCGATTTAATAGATAACATTTTTTTTTAATCAAATATTTTATATCTGCTGTAATATTAGCCTGGGGCTTAAATTTTATTCCGAAACTATTTCACGATCATGTAGTATTATTTGCCAACAATAATGCACAGATTTTTTCCGACTTTTTCTAATTTTAGCTTTTTACAAAGAAAAATGAACAATTAGAAAGTTTTTGTAGGTAAACATTTATTGAAACTGCATTTTATTTTAATTAATTACATGTCTTACTATGCAAGTAAAATGACCAGTTGAGATGTTTTAGCTTGTAGTTGTTATTAATATTGCAATTTCTACTTCCTCTAAGTCATATGACTATCTTAAGTTTTTATTAAAAAGTTCATCTGCTTAAGCTTTTTTTTTAATGTATTTTTAAACGATAATATAAATATTATTTTATCGCTTTTGAAAAAGAGTGTATTTATTTATATTGAATTTTTTTTAATCAAGTGGATGAATTTATTTAACTGATTGATTTAATTAATTATTAATTCGATTCATTTATTTAGTTATTTACATTAGCATAATCAACTTCAAACACATTTTTAACACTAGAAAAACGGAACATTGCTGTATAGTGTATACCTGGCAAGTTGTCAGAAGCTGACAGTCTGGCTCTTCCCAGATTTCTTGTGTGTAGATCAATTAGACATCCAAAATCTTGAAAATATAATCATAATTTAGTTAGAAATATATTAGAGACTTGGTCATCAAGATTCTATGGTATTCGATTCAATTTGATTAACGAAAATATTTGATTAAACGGAACATATGCCTTTTCAATTACACTTTTATATTAATTTCTTAGATAATTGAGTTCTTTCTCTTTAAGTAATACTTGATGACACGGGAGAAAGCTTTTTTTTTTTTTTAAATTAGACTCGGGTACCTTATACCTACTAAAGGGTACTGTATACCCAAACCTACCTGGGATTATGGGGTACCTATCAAAACAACTTAGGGTCTAGTTTGGCCTCTCCCGTCATTCTAAGCATAAGGTTCTACATATAAGTTCTTATCAGACTAACACATGATTAAGTAGGTACTTAAATTGGATCAAATTAGAAAAAGTCAGAAATACTGAATACTTTCAGTAAGTTTACTTTTGAGGCCGACTGAACTGTGTAGGGGTCATGGAACTGGCCTTACATCAGAAAGGTTCTTGGTTCGAATTCCGGGCAAGGCATGGATGCTCTTTCATTGTCAGTACCATCTGTCCTTACTGCGAGAGCAATATTGGCCTACCCGATATTGGCTCTCCTGAAAGAGTGACCAACAAACTTGCCCTATAAATGTCCTAATTGACGAAATATTAACACAGGTGGGCATTGGAAATTTAAAAAAAAAGTTTACTTTTGAATTACAGAACAATGAAAAGTGAGAGGGAACAATCTGGCATCAGCCGCCTTTATAATGCTAAAGGCGTCTTTGTTTCTGATGCATTTTATATAATCAGGGAGAGTGGGGTCAATTGTAACAGGGTACGATTGTAACAGAGCAAAAATTTCGAGTGTCGGCTTCTAGATTTGATTCCTAGGCGGCGCACCAAGTGTATTTAATAAATCTACATGTACACCCCTGCTGGCAACCATTTTTATGTACTTTTGAAAGAGTTACATCACAAAAGATATTTTCACGCTATGTAAGTACTTTTTTTGGTATTAGAATATTATATTGTAACAAAGTAATTTTGTTTAAACAAATAAAAATTATTAACCGAATATGTAAGTGGACACCTTAATTAACAAATCAATAAAAAAAATTAGTTTTGTTAATTAACTAGCATTGTTTTTAACAAATGAAGCTGAAATGGCATCTTGGCGACGATTGTAACAATAAGTAAAGGGACGATTATAACAGCTGAAAATAATCTTATGTTTACAAACCATTACTGAACTCTTTAAGAACCACCAATAGTTTCTTNTTA